GTACTGTCTCCTCTGTAAGGGGCAAGCGCCATTAATATGCGAGGTCTGTTGAGCTGGATTTACGAGCGATTTTTTAGCACCTATTGGCAAACAAATCTCTATCGAGGTGTGCAGACGGTTCCCACGCTTTTATTAAGTAACGCGCGGCGAATTGCGTAAGTAAATATTATAAAACAATTAGCGGCACAGTACAGTACAGTACAGTTTTACACCTTTACACAAATAGCTAATGGAGCCAACATGAATCCAAATTGACTTCAGACGGACAGACGGACGAACGGACGGAATGATTATTATTGCAATAAGCGGGAACTGCTTTGTAGCTATTTGATTTACAATTTGGGCTGCTGTTAATGCTTTGTTTGTTTCTACGTTTATGGCCACTGGCTGGCCCGAAGGTGTTAATTACTCAGTGTTCCAAACTAACAAGATGGTAATTTCACCTTTATGGGCATTAAATTGGTCACCAGTTAGGCCCATCATCATCTCGCATCTCGCATCTCGCATCTGCACTCGTATTAATGTGTGATAAATAATGGGAGAGCCAAGTGTGCTAGGCGAAAAAGATGTCATTCAGATTTTATGGCAAATTAATTGCCCTTCAAGCGAGGAGCAGCCTATAAAACGAGTTTATCTTTATATTCGGCGGGCATTGTGCGGTAGTCTGGATCCATATGGAAATCGCTAGATAAATTATCGATCGTTTTTTTTTAGTTAAATTTAATTTAATTTCAAACCAAATGCCGGGACTTAAATCAAAAATCCTCAGTGAGCCGAAATGGAAACTAAGCAGGAGTCGGCGGAAGACATAAAACTCATTTTGCCAAAATAAGTGAAATCATCAATTTTGTTTTCTTATTTTGTTGTTGTTGCTCTTCCACTTCTCATTTTCTTCTTCTTCAGCTTGTTGTCTATTCTATCTGCCAACTTTCTTTGCATTCTCTTATCTCGCACAGCGGGAGGGGTCGATTGAAACTTTGTTGCTTTAACTTTGTTCTGTACGCTTCGTTTGCTCTGGAAAAGGGAGCCCCAAGGGGAATCTGTTAGCTTCTCTTTTCCCTGTTCCCTTTTCCCTTTTCCCTTTTTAAAGGGAACAGCCAGCACAAAGCGACTAGCTCATTTACATAAGCATAATTTACACATAAAGTAGTTACATAGCCAAAAAGCTTTGAAAGATATACACCCACGCACACGCACACACACACACACACACAGACACACATCTAGCGAGGCCAACTTGCTCGTTTAGACACGCACACACACACACACATAGACATACACATACACATAGCCAATATGGCTGCCCCGTTTCGTCAGCAAGAGTAGAATCAACAACAGCAGCCAAAGTCAGCAAAATATTTATTCAAATAACGTGCGTCTCCCTTTTAGCGCTTCCATCCCGGGCTCGTCTCCCTAAAGGTTAATTTCAGCTGTGCTATATCAACGTGGAGGCCACTGCCAAACCGGCCCCTCCCCCAAACTTGTGATGACGCCAACGACTGCGACGGCGACGGCGACGGCGACGGCGACGGCGACGGCGACGGCAGCCGCTGCTGGATACTAGCTGAACTGAACAACCCCCAGAAGCGACGGGTAGCCGCGATAAGCAAAGTCAAAAGCATTCAAAGATTTCAGCAAAATGGAAAACGGAAAATGAGGGAAACACACAAAAACGGCATGGCATGGCCGCTGAAATTCAGCCGAGCAGTCCGAACTGAACCGAACCGAGCCAAACCAAACCAAGAACCAAGAGCAACCAACCCCCAGCAGAAAAAAAGAAGCAAAACCTGTCGAGCTGCCAAACAGCCGACGGTATTCAGCCGAGCTCAAAAACACTTTTTGCTGACGCTGTCGCTTCATGCTTCAGCATACACACACAAACAGATACATACCCGACACAACCCCAATACGACAGATGTTAGAGGGCGGAGGGTGGCGGGTGGAGAGCGGAGGATGGTGAATGAAGGGTGGCGCTATTTTGAACGCGTGTGCTGCTTGCCATAATATCGATCCCTCTTGGGTCGTTGCCTTCACTCAATGAGTCCTCAATTTACTGTGGCCTTCCCTCGCCACCCGGCTGCCCCCACTCAGTCCTGCTCCGTGGCCCGCAGCCCGTGGTTCGTGTATAGATTTCGTATCTACAGCTACACGCAAACTTCCACACACACACACACTCGTTACAGTTATCGAGATTCGCATGTAGTTAGCTTACGTACATATATACAAAGTATACAATACACAGATATGTCTGGATGTATCTGATAACAAATGCATATACTTATAATATGTATTCCTTTTAAGAGGCCAGACAGAAATGCATTCCTGCATGGCGAAAAATTCGAAAGAGGCTTCGATTCATTCGATTCGACTTTAAGAGTCAGCTCGTATTTTACGGTGACATTATTAATTGAATTATAAATTTAACATTTTAATATGATATCTGCCTGGCAGTGCTGTTCTCTTCTCTGAATGCGTTGTCCCCTTGCTACGTGATGTGCCTCTAAACGGACAGAAACACCCTTGAGCCCCATCCCAAATATCGTCAGTTCATGGAATTTCAGCTGAGTATGGCGATGAGAGCCTCAAGCTAATTTTAATTTCGACCCTTGTGGAGTTGATAGTATTGAAGAAGTGAAGTACAGTGGAATGAATTGACAGATTTTAAAACTCATTTGCTAACCATAATCAAAATATGAGAATTGTGAAACTTGATATATACAATAAATTGATTCCAACCAAAGAGAAATATAAATATATATATATATTTAGGATGGTTGATTCATAGTGGGTCATTCAAATCGAATAAACTATGAATATTGTGAATAATGATAGTATTATTTTGTATCATATTATTTTTTATTACACGCTTTTTAAATATTGAAGAAGTGAAGCACAATGGGAGTCAAAATATGAGAATGATGAAGCTTTATACATATGTATATAAAATCCACATCACCAGAATTTAATCTATCAAGTGATAAATACAAATATATTTTATGGTCGGTTGCTTTATTTTGATCCCTTCAATTTCAACAAACTGTGATTATTCCGATTGTAATTTTTGACCACATTTTCTTTAATGTCAGCCACTGTTGCTCCGACGGTCACCGCTGGAGTGGGGAAACATAGAGAGCCCAGGGTTCTACACCCGAGCCAGCGGTTGTTCGATTAGCCAGCTGAGCGACGAGGCGGGCTGGAGATAACAAGTCGAACCGGTCCGTCGGTCCGTCAGTCCGTCCGTCCGTCCATCGGTTGGTTGGTCCGATGGAGACATGCGAGTAGAAAGCCACAATCAGAAATTTAATAATGGCTGCACAAAAGGCAGCACGAAGCGCGTTGACGTGCACATATTTTACGAGTTTTATACACAGCCAGCGGATTCGTGTTTGTATCTGGCGGATGCACATGTAACCGTCAGAGAGGGTCAACATGTGCCCGGTCCAGGGACCAGACGGACGGACAGCGCGGGCAGGCAGCACTCGAGTGGTGCATTCCACTTGCTGCTGCCAAGAGAAAGGCAACGAGAAACGAATGAAGTCATCAAACACAAAAAACAAAAAGAAAAGGAAAGAAGACAAAATGGCCACGTATCGCAGGCTGCTGAGATGAGAGGAGTGAAAGCGTCGACGCTCTCACCTGCCACGTTTGCGTTCGGCTGCACTCAGGACCTATCCCTGAGTGGGTCGATCAACAATTTTGATCGTCAGCTGCGATGGCGGCAACAGCAGGAGCAGCACCAGCACCAGCAGGAGCAGCAGCAGCAGCAGCGAGTGCTGCCCTCGATTTAAGCGGCCGATAAAGAACTAGTTGGTCGTTGGCTGCTGCCTGTTTTATTTTATTTTTTGTGTGTCCGTTTTATGGCTTCATAAGTGGAACTTGGTTGCGTTTCTTGTTCTTTTTTTCTGTTACTTGCTGTCGCGCATGATTTTCCCTTTGTTCTGGCGAAAGTCGTAAACAATTTCGGCCAGCCACAGGCCGAGCGAGCGAGCAGGTTCCTCGGCCAGTCGTAGCAGTCTATAATTCTACGTAGTTAATTTACCAAAAAAACAAAAAATAGAGAAAGAAAAACAATGCTCAGACAGTAGTAAATGTCAAGGCTTTGAAATGCATCGCTTAATCGAAAGGAGCGGCTGCTGCCGACGCTGTTGCACCTGACCCGAAGCTGCAGTTGGCTCAAGTGTTTAGATCGGCTGCCCTTTGAACTTGGAGCGGGCAATCAGGAGTCGACGGTCGACGGTCGGCAATTGGCAATTAGCTCAGTTGTCCAATTTCTCACGGCCGTAAAAATTCACTTAATATCTTTTTGAAATGAATTCATGATTGGGCAGCAGCCGAGGGGCGTTCGGCGATATAAATCTACTCATCGGCGACTTTTTCAGCGATTTTGTGATTTTTGGCAATTGATTTAATGTGTCATTCATAGATTTTTATTGCGTCATTTTATTGCCATCTTTAACTTCCGATTTACCACAATTGGACCCGCTTGGACACTGTCCCCAGCCACGCCCCACATCATTGTGATTCGCACTCGCGCGTCGCCTCGTTCTCGTTCTCGTTTTCGTCCTCCTTCTCGTCCTGGGTGGCATCTTAACAGGGAAATCATGTACTCGCCGTACTTTACTTTATTTATTGCCATTTTTAATACCGCCCCGACTCGCCTGCTGGACATTTTAACGCCCTGCACACTGACTGCCATTGCCGTTGGCCGAGTGGATTGCAGAGTGGAGCACGAAGCATGGCCACTTTATGTTACAATAATGTTCCCTGGGCACTGTCGCTGCCTGCAATCGAATTGTTTGGGTCATAAAATCAAAAAGGTAATTCGAGCAGCGCGGCTAGGCCCAAGCCAAGATCTCGCCCAGTTACTATTGCATACGCCCTGCCCTGCCTTGCCCTGTCCCGCCCTACCCTCTCTATGCCATATAATTTCTATTTCCGTCATTATAGATTCAATTATGACAGAATCATTCGCAATCAATCAAACAAGTATCTGGACTCACCGAATCAAATTTTAGACCTCAACTGCTCTTATCTGTATGCTGGGAACTGTAAGAAAAGAATAGAATATTTGATTTAAAAATTCAAATACATGAGACAATTGACTAATGCAAGTTAAACAAAGTATTTTAAAGCTTAGAATAAAATGCTTTAAGATTATTCCAGTATATCATTCGTTCGCCATTTTGTTTCAAGCAGAAGACATACTTTTCTCTCATAAGTCAAAACAGATGAGACATTTCTCTCATTAGGATTCATATTACCCAACCAATCAACAAAATCTAACAAAATACTAATTCATTGCGTAAATATTTGTATATATTCAAAATATGGATTGTGGATAGATGAAACTGAATGAATGTTGTCAATGCTTAGGGCTGAAAAGTATTTCAATATTTTCTTGTAAATTTACATTTAATTGAATTTAGATATACGGAGAAATTATTTATTCCTTTTTTAATGCATTTCTCTATTTATTTATCGATTAAAAATTAAATTTTTCTCTATTTATCTATGTATGTACATATGTATATAATATATAATATATATTATATTATATATTGTATTGTATCATAAATTATTTCTTTATTTATATCCAATTCTTTTTCATTAATTTTATTTAGTTTATCAAATCATCATTAAATAATAAATAGACATTTTAATAGACAGATTAAAATATAAATCAATTGTACTAAATGAATACAATCAAACCTAACCACAAAAAAAAGGAAAATATGATGTTGTGTAATTAAGAGAGCAAAGATTTTATGAGAACTTGAAACGATTTGAATATGCATTGAACTCACCGACTCGGGGCGATGATAAGGTTCCACTATAATTTATACAAATCAATACAAATTATGAGCTGCCAACAGCAACAAAATGTTTATTGAGTTTTTGGGCACTCGTTAAATTGAAAAGAAAACACAGAGAACGTATTTAAAGTCGTAAACTTGTGGTTCAATTAATGCAGTTAATGTTATTGTATTATATGATTAAGTATTAAACATCATAATGCTTGAAGCACTGGCTTTTATTGCCATTAGTCGCACCACCGACCCGGCCAGTGATAATACCTCCGACTGCCGATATCGAGTTGTACCACATTATTTACGAGTCTTTGGCTAGATCACGCACGAGAAGCTCTAGGAGTAATAGCAGCTCAAGGAATGTCCGATCGAAGGTATATGTGTGTGTATGTGTGTGCTTGTGTTTGTGTGTGTGTGTGTGTGTGGGTGTAAAGGTGATCGGTTGGATTCGCTGGGACTCCAAATTTGGGATTAATACTGGCGCTCACGCACACATAGACACCAAATGGCAAGGGCCAACAGAAGACGAGGCACTGAAATTCGAAATCCGCGACGCGCATGCGAGATAACGACTCCGAAATTGTTAGAGAGCAACTAACACTAAAAAAATTAAATTCAATATTTTTTTCTGTTTAGACAAAAACTGAACTGAAACGAAAACCGAAAACTGGCGAACCGAATGCGAACGCGAATGCCGCGAGAGCGAGCGCTGAGCGTCAAGAGTCGAGCGTCGAACGTCGAGAGCCAGACCAGAGACGGCCGAGCTCTCACGTCGAGTTATGGCAAAGATCTCACCGGGACGGGCGGAAGGCGGAAGGGGAGGGCAGGCACACAAAACATTTTTACATAGTGTTATTTTGGTTTTTATTGCCCTGCTGATGGACGAGCGAGCGGCAGGGCCATGGGGGCTACAGCAGAGACTGGAACTGGGCCGGGGGCTGGGGCTGGAGCTGTTGCTGTTGCTGTTGCTGGGGCGGAGAGCGACTGAATGACGAGCGAACAAGTGTACATTCAAATGCGAGCGCGCGATCTTGCGATCTCTGCTCTAGACATGCGGGCGGAGTGCCAAGGGACGCCGAATTCGGTTCGTTTTAAGTTAAAGCTCGCCGACAAAGTACACGAAATATACACATACAAACACACACATACGCATACATACATATATATATATATATATATATATATATTTATACTTCATTTTATTTTATTTAAATTATAACATTTCACGCATATGTGTTGGCTCGCTGTGCCAAGTTTGTGTGTGTGTGTGTGTGCAGTAATTCAAAAATACATATAATTTAAGGTCTACATATAATAGAAGTGCTTACTTTTTAAAAATACTACTAAATACACATATATGTGTGTACATACACATATATGTGCGTACATATATATATTCCATGTACTCTGCTCCTTCGTAAAAGATCGAGACAACTTCGCATGCCTCAAAACAAACTTTACGGTCGGTTGCTCCGTCCCAGTCGCCATTTTACAAAGTGTCGCAAAGCGTAAAAAAAAAGTAAAACGAAATTCAAAGAAAATGGTGGAAACATTGCTTGAAATAGTCGCATTCTGGGTCACAGATAAGTATAATTGAAAGTGCTCCTGCCAAGCAAAGTCTCTGATTATTTTTAATCCATATAGAACAAAAATAAATGTTGCACAGTTGAGCAGACAAAAGTAGCAAAATTATTATTTTTAATACGATTCAAATATATCCCTATATGTAACTATACTTGACATAATCAAATATGTCTCATTGGAGCTCTACTCTAATACACCAATATACAATCAAACACCGTCTCGAGTATCTATAAGACCATCCGATAGTCCTACGATTACATTATAATTAAATACAACAAAAAATACAGATGAATTGAAGCGCAGCAAGAAGAATATCGAATAAAGTCAAGTATTACCAATTTGGTTTTTCGAACGAGTATCAAAAGTCTTATCCAACCTATAGAGCTATACTGTAAAACTCCCTCAAAAGTCTAGAAAATAAACTGCACATGTATCACATTCATTAATTTTAATGCATTTCAATTTGTATTTAAAAAATGTTTTAATGTAAATTAGTTCGTTTGTATTCCTATATCTCAAACAAACAGCTATCAAATTCATATATAATTCAGTACCATATTTTTGGTATGCTGCTAATAATATTTATATATTCATCATTTTTAGTTATTTATTATGTTAATTGTGCTATAATGCCTATTAATATCATCCGTTGACTGATATTAGCCATAAATAACCGGATAGTTTGAGCTCCAATGAACTCACTGTATATATTTACATACTCTATTAAATTCCAGGACTTGGAATCTCTTTAGACGCCTTCGCTCAGCATTTTCTAGTAGCCCAAACACATTTTCGTGGATGTGTTTCTTATTTATACAGATAGTCGGATCTTATTGAAGAGAAATATAGATATATATTTTGAAATTGGAAAAATCAGGTAAACTACTCAAAAGTGTTGTATTATCCTATAATATTTAAAAGATTTTCCGACTCTCTTAATAACACCATAATATCGTTACCAAGTTTTTGCTAATTATTTTCAATGGAACACACATATCTAATTTTAGTTGGATTGTAGAAAGCGGACTTCTTCATAAACGGCCTTAAACCAAATTAAAGTTATTTTTATAAGAAACACAAGCTCTGGCTCTGTCTGCGACTCCGGCTAAGGCAATTTTAATCTCAGCAGAAGCCATTAAAAAGCAGCAAATTGTCGTTGTCGTTGTTGTTGTTGCTGTTGTGTTTGTTGTTGTTGTCATTGGCATCCCTATTTGTTTGGAAACCCGTTTAGACTGACACCGCTTTGCTTGCCAATCAAACCTGTTCAGCGTCAAGTGCAAAAAAGTAGCTCTAAAATTGCAACTTAACTGAAAATCAAGTTAAGCTTTAATTAAAAACCTGGAAAACACAATTAAAAGCCAGCCAGGCAGCCATTCAGCCAGCCAACAGCAACAACAGCACTTGCAATTAACAGCGACCGAGGCGAGAGAAAAAAATTAAGTTTAGAAAAATCTTGCCAAAGTGTTTGTGAGTAATTGGCCGATGGGGCAAAGCAGCAAAGCAGCAAAGCATCAAAGCAGCAAAACAGCAAAGAGGGCAGCGAGGAACGGCTGGCTGACTGTTTGCTAATGCTATTGCCGTGGCTAGCGACGGCTGCTGGCCATGAACGAACAAATATATGTATATATGCATGTTGGTATGTGTGTGTGTGCGTGTATGTGTGTATGTGTGCATGTACATACGTTGATCAGCGTTGCGCACATCAACTGCGCCGCCCCGATCCTCGAAGCTCGGCCTTGGGGCTGCTCGATTGCGGCTGCTTTGTTACCTGACGCAAGCAAACGAGTCGAGAGAGACTGGCCCGAGCGTACGTACCCCACCCGCCGTCCTCATTTATTCACTGGGAGGGGAGGCGGAGACTCGAGGCAGGTCGTGGTAAGTAATAAGCGTGTTTCATAAATTGAAAGCTGCCGTGGCGGCAAAAGTTATGAAAAACGAAGGAAAGCAAAAAAAAACCATTTAGATGGCAATCTGACGGCCAAACCGGCGAAACGAGCAGTGACCGTCCACTGAACAAACAGCGAACTGGCCACCGGCGAGTGGGAAAAGCGCTCGATTTGAAAAATGGCTGCCAGCAGCAGCAGCAGCAGAGGGCAGCAGGGGGCAGCGGGCGGGCAGTTGGAAATGGTGGGCAAATGTACAAACACGAAACGAAACGAAACGCGGTCATAAAACGCTTCAAATTTGCGGCTTTCGGTAGCAAAACAAAGCAAGAGCAAACGCAAAAGGCAAAGCAGCAGAGCAACAACAAAGAAATCGGGCAATTATTATTATTAAAGAAACAGCAACAAATACAGCGAAACTTAGGCACACGCACAGACACACACTCACATCAAAGTCAGCGCCCTTTACGGCCAAAGCAGAGCAGACCAGCCACGTTTATAAGTGAGTCGAGAATCGAAATCCAAACTGTACCAATGAATTATCTAAAGTCTCAACTAAAATAATTGTCGGAGAGATATTACAGTGCTCATTCAGCAAATCATCATCTACTTGAATAATTAAATTTAAAATAAAAATTAAGTTTAATCAAAAAGTAAGATAAATTCACAGCATAAATAATGATATAAGCTCAATCAAAATAAGAAACTTATTTATTCAACTGAAAATTCTATACATTTTCGCAATGTTCAGCTGCAAGCTTTTGCCAACAAT